CGATCGGCTTGAGCGGAACCTGTCCATTTCTGGACAGGTTTGGCTCAGGTTTAGCCTGAGCTGGGCGGTTCAGTTTGGGCAGCCCACTAGTGGGTTTGGTTGGGTCTTTTGCTTGCTATAAGTAGGGATTAAGGGGGGATTTCTAGGGTTATGCAAGATTGGAGTTTTCTCTTAGCCTCCTTAGTTTCTTTCTCTTGTTTTTCTAGGGTTTGTAGTGGGAGACCTTGTCCTTCTCGAAGTGGACAAATTGTATCTTGTTTTCCCTTGGATTTTGAATGCAAAGGTTTTGGTTCTTCATCTCATCCCTCTTGTGTTGATTTTTTCCTTGATTTGGAGGAGAAATCTTTTCTTTGAAGGAGCATTAGGGCAAACCCAAACTTGGGAACCCTAGGGCGTATCATGTGTCTGGAAAAAATTTGTTATAAAGCGTTGAACCATATGTGTACTCCTAATGATCCCCCTCTTCGCCCTAATATATTAATTTTTGAATATGTGGATGATTTTGTTATCCTAATGTTAGGGTAGGGGCATAAATAAAAGTTTGAAAAGATCAATAAAATTATGTGATGTAATAGTCTCAATACAGTTAACATTAAAGATTTAGAATATTAAAGGTATTGCCAAATCACAAATTAATAAGAGACTCAAAAACGTCATTAAAATGCATAAAATTTGTATTATTGATTATTTAAAATCTATAGTTAACCTGAATAAAATTATTATCTATAAGAATATTTAAGTTGTTAAGGTGCTCTTACAAACCCTTCCAACAAGATTTAGTATTATGGATGGATTTGATTCAATGCGTTTCCATGTTTGACTTGCCTTAACTTTTAAGCAACAAAAATTCTTTTGATGACATGTTAGTTTATGCTTCATTCCTTTATGTTGACATCTTAAGAGAACATAGAACCTTCCTTTGGCTGGACCTCTAAAGCATTGCTCAAAATGGTCAGAGAAGATTTCAATGTTCGTAGGAGATTTCAATATTGTGTTATATCTGAAGGAAAGAAAAGGTTATTTTTCCAATAATAAAGGTAAATTTTGTGTTATATCTAAATGGAGGACTCCTATTATATTGATTATAAATAATCATGGAAGCCAAATATTTAGGTCCCCTTTTAATTATTCTAATGGTTTCAAATAGGTTGTACTCGATAGAATATTTATCTCATCTGAATATATTAGTTATTTTAATTCCCTCCTACTTGGACACTTTAATAGATCAAATCTTAGATCATTTACCCTTTCTTTTATTTCAAATCTTTCTTATAATAGTCCCAAGCCTTTTAGGTTTATTAATATGTGGATTTAACATGAAGGTTTTCTACACTTTGTCAAAAAGAGAATCGTAGTGCTCCAATGGAGGGTTATGATCTTATCATCCTCTTGTTGAATTAAAAAATGACTCAAATCGACCTTGAAGATTTGGAACAATATTATTTTTAATAATATTTTTTTATTAAACCAAGAAGATTGAGGGAAAAAAATGCATTCTTAAAAATATTTTTCTCGAACTGGTAACATAATCGATATATATAATATGAATAAGGATATAACGCCTTGAATAATCTATATCATCACCTTTACGAATTATGGCAACAAAAAACTAGTATTAAGTGGCATGTTGTGACTGAGATGTTTGATTTCAAAATCCATGTATTAGCATAATGGTAATAAGCCATCACATAGGAGAAAACAGGCTAGCATTAGATATTTGCACATTAATCAGAAAGAAACGAGCACACAATGACAAATGCGGAGACATTCAACATATACTACCTTATGAAACATCGAATACCAAGATATCCATCTTCCTAAAGCAGGATCAAACATCTCCACATCGGAGAAGAACTCAAGTCTATTACCTCCACCAATAGCATAAATTTTGCCATTCAAAGCTGCACCAGCTAGACAGCCTTTCTCGTGGATCATCGGAGGGCATGAGGTCCATTCGTCGTGCTTTTGGGAATAATGCTCAACTGCAAATTATTTGAAAACGCAACGGATTAAGAAAACTGGATCTAACCATGTATGGGTATTTAGGAAAAAAGGGTTTAATAGATGTACCTATGTTATACCAGGAATTTTCATCACCTCCGCCCAGAGCATATATATCTCCATTTAGTGCAACTGAGGAAACATACGAACGAGCAGAGCTCATTGACTTCAGGGGTGTCAAGATGTCCAATGATGGTGAAAATGAGTCTAATGCAGATAGCAATGCAGAACCATTAGAACCTCCAATAAGGTAAATTACATCGTCTGAACCAATATGCTGCCCAACAAACTCGACTTTATGACCATCATCAAGTAGCATTGAGGTGCCTAACTTTGATTCTAGATCCTTCAAACGGGCATTCAGCTTTAGAACTTTTTGTCCGGAGTTTCTAATTAGATCTCTCAAATACAATATTTCTCTATCAGATTCCACCTAATAAACAAAATCATGAATAGAATACTATCATTTCAGTGAAGTGAGGAGAGGGGTGCAAAGCATAAGAAATCTTGACTCAATATTAGGAGGAATGAAAAGAGACCTAGAACAATAAAAGTCTGCAAGTTATAGGAAGTACCCTGATGAATGTTACGGCTTATTAAAATGCTAAGAAAAAGCCTAAGTCGTTGATACCATGAAAATAATTGGTTAAGTATTTCATTTTTAATATTTATATAGTATTTATATAATCCTAGGAAAATGACCTTTCTTTATTAAGAGTTAAATGAGTTAACATGACGCAATGGGGACGTCGGCTGTCCAAGGCAGGGGTATATCTCAAATCTTTGATCATGACCATACAGGAAGTGGGTGGAGAATTTTTTGTGGAGTTGCAATGCTTGCAAGGGGCAGAATGGAGGATGAGGGAGACACTCCTACTTCAATTCAGCTGCTCATACAACAGTTCAGTGAGGTTTTTCAACCTCCCTAGAGCCTACCTCCGCAGAGAGAGCTGGAGCATACCATTACCTTGAAGTAAGGGATGTCACCGACCAGTGTTTGGCCATACCGATATCCCCAGATTCAGAAGGATAAGATTGAAAATCTGATCCGTGAGGTCTTGGATGTGGGATCATCAGGCAAAAAATGTGAGTCTTTTCTCTAGCCCGCTGGATCTGTCCAAATTCAAAGCGCACATTGAAGAGCCTCTCCTTACAAGAATCTGTGGATTACAAAGCCTTGACAAGGGGAAAGTGTCGGATAAGTTCCATGTTCTTGTGATGGATGAGTTGTATGGAGCAGTGGTGTTTTCTAAGTTAGATTTGAAGTCAGGCTATCACCAAATCAAAATAAAAGAGGCAGATGTTCAGAAGACAGCTTTCAGGACACACGAGGGGCACTACGAGTTTCTGGTGATGTCGTTTAGGCTTACTAACACCCTTGCTACTTTCCAATCCTTGATGAAGAGGGTGTTCTGGCAATACCTCCGGAAGTTTATCTTGGTTTTCTTTGATGAGATGCTAGTATACAACAAGACTGAAGAGGAGCATCTGGAGCACTTGAGAGTAGTTTTAGAAGTTCTATGTGAGCATCAGTTGAGGGCCAACCTAAAGAAGTGCAGTTTCACGCATTCTAGTGTATAGTAATTGGGGCATGTGGTATCCTAGGAGGGAGTAGCGGCGAATCAAATCAAAATTGAGGCAATGCAGAAGTGGTCCCTGCTTAGGAACCTAAGGGAGTTGAGGGGCTTCCTATGAATGATTGGTTACTACCGAAGATTTGTAAGGGAATACAGTACCATAATGTTTTCCTTGATCGAGCAACTAAAGAAGGATAGCTTCTTGTGGGGAGAGGCAGCGGCCTGAAGAAAACCATGAGTAAAATCCCAATTTTAGCTCTCCCAAATTTCAGTCAAATTTTTGTAGTGAAGACCGATGCGTCCGAATATGGGTTGGGGGTCGTACTCATGCAAAGCCACAGACCTATAGCATACTACAGCCAAGTACTGTCAGCCAGAGCTAGGCTGAAGTCAGTATATGAGAGGGAACTGATGGCCATTGTGTTGACTATTCAGAAGTAGCGCCCTTACCTATTGGGTAGGCATTTCATTATCCAGAGTTCCAGACAAATCAGAAAAGCTTGAAATATTTATTGGACCAGAGGATGGTGACAGAAGAGCATCAGAGGTGGTTGTCCAAACTGCTAGGTTATGATTTTGAGATCCACTGCAGACATGGATTAGAAAATAGCAACGGATGCCTTATCAAGATGTGTTGGGGAACTCCATGAAATGGAAACTTCAGTGCCACTGATGGAAGAATGGGGGCTATCAAGAAGGAGAGCATGCATGATGAGGAGTTGAAAAAGATTGAGGATTTAATGAAGGATATGAATAGTCATCTGGGGTACTCACTTGAAGATGGGAGACTCTTACATCAATGAAGGTTTGTGATGTCGTGAACCTCCATCCATATTCCCCACTTATTGCAGGAGTTCGATGGGAGTACAAATGGAGGCCATTCCAGGGTACAAAAGACCTACAGGAGACTAGTTGATGAGTTATATTGAAAGGGGATGCATAAAGATGTGGAGGAGATAATTGTGAGGTGTGAAATCTGCTAGAGGAACAAGTATATGGCTATGGCTCCAGGGGCGTTTCTACAACCTTTGGAACTTCAGAACATGGTATGGGAGGAAGTGTCCATAGATTTTATAAATGGCCTACCACGATCAGAGGGATTCAAAATCATTATGGTGATGGTGGACAGGCTAAGCAAGTACGCACATTTCATTCCCTTACGACAACCCTACACCATAATGACAGTGGCAACAACATTTATCAGGGAGGTAGTTAGGCTACATGGGATTCCATAGTTGATAGTTTATGACCGATACTATGTGTTTCTCAGCCAGTTTTGGAGGGAGTTGTCCAGGTTACAGGGAACAATACTTAAGAGAAGCACTACTTAACACCCATGGACGGACAAACGAAGATAGTCAGCAAAAGTTTAGAGACTTACTTGAGGTGCTTTGCTTCTGAAACACCACAGATGTGGGCCAAGTTGTTAGCATGGGTCGAATATTGGCACAATACCTCGTACCACTCAGCTTCTCAGATAACCCCTTTCAAATTGTTGTATGGAAGGGACCCCCCACACTTGGTGCACTTTGAAAAATGGAGCAGCACACCAGTATCCTCATTAGAATAGTACTTTGAGGAAAGGGATTGGGTGTTGGAGGAGTTGAAGAAACATTTGTTGAGGGCACAGCAGATCATGAAGAAGCATGCAGATGCACATTAAAGAAACATCCAGTTTGATGTGGGAGAGAATGTGTTCGTAAAATTGCGACCCTACAGACAGAGGACAATGGCCAACAGAAGAAACGAGAAACTGTCTCTGAGGTATTTTGGCCCCTAACAGATATTGGATAAGATTGGAGCAGTGGCGTACCGTTTGAAGTTAATCCCATCAGCCACCATACATCCAGTCTTCCATGTGTCACAGTTGAGAAGAGCTCTTAGGGAGCATGCAGTTAGTGCAGAATTACTAGCAACATTGACAGAGGAATTGGAAGTGGTCTTAGAACCACTAGAGCTAAAATGGGTGAGATCAGATAAAGAGGTAAACAAAAAAGTGCTTATTAAATGGAGGGACTTACCCGACTTCGACGCTACTTGGGAACCATATGAGAGGGTGAAGTATCAATTTCCTTTATTCCACCTTGAGGACAAGGTGAGTCTTTGGGAGTAGGGTAATGTTAGGCCGCTCAAGGGCCGGTTGAACCGGTCCATCATGGACGGGTTCATTGCTGCAGAAGGAGGGCCAAGGGGGCAGGCGGAACAAGGGAAAAGGAGAGGAGGCGGCTGAGGTGATGGTGCCCACGGCTTAATTAAGCTTTGCTTTGAAGAAAAATTTTAAATTAAGGGTTGTTTAGGGATTATGTAATTTTTATTTGGCTTTAAATAGTTTCTTCTTGCTAGGGTTAGGGTTATCTTGGATTTGGAGGCTGAATTTGAGATCTACGGTTTTGCTTTTGGGCTCTAGTATTTGGTTAAAGATTTGGAGAGTTGAATCTTCCTCTCGAATTGAATATTCTTATATTGTTTGTTGTTTTTCTTGTTCTTTTGTTGAATTGGAGACTTTTGCTTGTTATTTTCTCTATTAAATTTGAAATTCCTGCACCAAACTTGCTGAATTTCCTGAAAATCAGCAATTTCCTGCACTGTGGTGGGTGTTTTTTATCATTAACTCATCTCTTAACTTAGAGGCGGTACAATTACAATAGTTTTGGAGAATCAATCAGACTTTGTATAGATACTGGGGAGCATGGAATGATCATGGTCGGGTTAGAATTATGGTGGCTTCTGTCAGGAGAAGGCCCAGCCAAGAACAGCAACCGGACGGAGGTCTTGCGGAAGTACGACAGAGATCGGCTAACGGGAGGTGGATCGGTGGCAGCCGGCGGCCAGACGGTGGTTAAAGGCCGGGCGATGGTCTGACGATGGTCGGGCGAATGTCAGAAGGCGGTCGGCGAACGAGTGGCAGTCCGATGATTGTCAGGTGGAAGTACAATGGAGATTGGTGGTGGTTCGACGACGGTCAACGGTCGGGAAATGGTCCAATGGAGGTTCGTTGCCAAGCGGTGGTCCAACTATGGTTGGATAGTGGTCGATTGTCAGGCTGTTATTCAGCGGCGATCAGTGGTTGAATAGTGGTCCGAAGATGGCGGCAGCCAAACGATGGTTGGCAGAAGCTCGCCTGCGATGGTGCCTGGATAGAACTCTAGGATCCTCAAAACCTCAGAGCTCTCTCCAATCTCCAGCCAAATGTCCTTTCATGAAGAAAGCATTGGTCTATTTAAAGATTTTTGTGAGTGGCATGCTCCATAAATATGAAGAAGATCCAGGATAATTTAAGAGTGCTCCATCGGATGGCATATACTGATTTCCTCGATCATGGAGCATTTTTCAAGCATTTAAGTGCCTTAATGATGTAAGAATAAGTGATCTTTGGCTCGTTGAATTCGTCTAGTCGAGCTGCTCGATTCAACTATAAATATGTCATATTTAGAGATCATTTCGTCATACAATTAATGCTTCGAACATTCCAAATATGCTTGGGTCATTTTATTTAAAGCCATTTGGGCTCGAATTTGACCGATTTTTGTGTCGTTGGGTTCGTCTTCTCGAGATGTTCAATTTGGCTATAAGTTTGCTGAAATTGGAGCTAAGATGATCTCGAATATAATTTTAAAAGTTGTCAACTCATATATGCTTCAAGATTCATGTCTGATCAAGGCAATTTTTTGTGATGTATCAAGCTTTAGTTTAATCATGTCATCGATTTTAATAAATGCCACAACCTTTTTCCATGATGCCTATGATATCGATCACATGATCATCACTATAAAAGTAAACTTCAAGAATAACTTGAAGGTATGTCTCTAAGATCTCTCTAGTCTACATGGACTTTTTAGTCTCTAAGCTAAGTGATTTCTAGGATCCATATGATATCTACTCTCTAAATTTAATGGCCTACTCAGGTGAAAATTTATGACTATCTAAAGAGACGAAGGAGATGCGCCATGATTTCTATGATAAAATACATTAACATATACAACTTCGAGTAATTTTCCACAAATCATCTAAAATATCTAGAAGAGACAAAGGTCTCCCACAAGGTGCATTCATCATAGGGTCATTAAGCTCCTTTGTAAGGATCTTTATCAGGGTTAAAATCTTTCATTTGGCTAGACATTTAGACTACTCAGTACAACTTGGATTAACACCAGCTTGGGGAATGAATGGGAGGACAATCAGTGGGATGATATGGATTAATTTAACTTTGTAAATTGTGTAGAGAAATTTTAAGAAAGGGGCTAAAGATTTGAATTAAATTTAACTTTAAATTCAAATTGAACTTGTAGAGAAGAAACTATAAAACAAGAATAAGCGGAAAAAAAAAACTCATAAACGAATGATAACAAGTCCAAATCTGTAGAAAATTGATGAAAATGACTGCAAAAGTAATAAAAAAATTTGCCATGATAACGAAGTTATGCGAAGTATGCAGGAGAACTATAAATCCAACAAAATTTTGAGATAAAAAGAATATAACAATACAACAGCATACTTTCGGGCTTTTTAGCTTGTTGACATATGTAATGTAGTTTTATTACAAACATCAGTTATTTGATTTGATGATATATTTTAAGTAATAAACAAATAAATGATTTTCAATCTGATTTTTGGTGGTATATAAATGGGTATATCTAGATGCCATACTATGTAAAAATTAAAAAGTAATGCTGACATCTACTAAAATTAAGATCTAAATATCATTGAAATATGTTAGACCGGTCCAACCAGTCCAGTCGGCCCTAAAATAGGGCTGGCCCTGGTCTATTTCAGGCTGACAAGGAAGCCGCTGGCCCCCATGTAGGCCAATGATCTAATGAAAATTTTTAAATAGGAAGGGGCGGTTTAAGAGGGAAATTAATTTAGGAAGGGTTGTTTAATAATTATACTTTTATTTTGTATTCTCTAAATGTGGGGGGGGGTGGGTTTATGCGATTTGTTTATTGATTTTTATCTTAGGTACTTGGGCTCTAGCCGTCAGCTAGGGATTGGGAGAGCCGGCTCTTTCTCTCAAATTGAAGATCCATTATATCTTGCTAGTTTTCTTCCACTATTTTTCTATTATTAAGTTTTCTTACTGATTTGCCAAGGAATTTCTTCAAATTCCTGCATTGTTCTTGCTGAAATCCCTAATTTTAGCCATTGTTTTGGTAATTTCTGCACTTGTGTCCTATCAAAATCAAACAACACCTTCATAGAAAATGCACAGGTAACATCACAAAAATCAATGATGAAAAGGGAAAATATAAAATAAAAAGTTAAAACCTCAATAGAAGAAGGTAGAAAAGTAAAATTTATATGGAACCTGCTGTTTCGCTAATGTAGTAGTTTGCACCTTTAAATCTCTGATGGCTTCCAGCAGCTAAAAAAGAAAATCATGGAAAATTTGAGTTTAAAAGTTTACAGAAATAATAAAATCAGCTTAAAATTTTCAAATTGAACTTATGTTTAGTTACCTTATCATTTCCATGAGAAAGATTAGGAGTCGCTGAAACTTCTTCTTGCTCGTACAAACTGTGTGAATCATTCAAAATCTTCCCACTATTCATATTTTTATATCCATCACAGAAGTTCATCGATACCATTAGACGGTTTTCTTCCAGAAAGGTATCAAGATGTTGATCATTTGATGCAACATTTCCATCATAAAGGTCATCATCTTTCTCAGTGGAAGTACATGAATCATCAATAAGTTGTTCATTTTTGTTGTACAAATCTTCCAGGACACTTGAACTTGAACTATCACCTATGACACAGCTAGACGAACGCAATTTGCTATCAGCTGAAAAAAATTTCAGTTTGAGCAATGCATTATTATGCTCTCCTTCAACTGGTTGCAGATCCAGTCTTCCATTAAGTTCAATAAAATTAGTAACAATTGCTGAACTTCCTCCATCTAAATCACCTTGAAAATGTTCTTTCCCGTTCGAAATTGATTCTTTAGAATCATTGTAGTTCAATATTGGTTCTTTAGAACTTGCACCTTCAAAAGCATTAAACAGTTCTCTCCTAGATCCACCAAAATCAGTATCTGCATTGTCTGCAACCTTGTATTGGTTCGCTGAACTAGTAACCTCTAAATCATTCTTTAGCTTTCTTTTGACAGCTGATAATGGTGGACAATTATTGATTTTGCTAGCCCGACTTCGTACTGGCAAAGGAGATGGAGGAATAGGTTTGAACAGAAAAAGTAAGTGTTGAGTCTGTGCATGGTCCAGCTCGAACCAGAAAGGTTTAGCATTATAGTTGTGTTCAATTGCTTTCTTAAATTTCTTTTCAATAAGGGGTTTACATTGTGACCGGATGCAGATCCGGACCTAGAAAAAATATAAATAATAATTAAATTTATTACAATAAAGCAAGGAGAAGTAAGAAATTCATGAAATTTGCTATAAACAAGACCTGTGCAGGAAAAGCAGTCTTCTCTGCTCCCCCATTTGTCCATGCATGAGCATCTATGTTCAATTGACCATGACTTGCAGACTCATAAATGCCATGAAGTTTCTTATCAGTGCAGTTGAAGAGAAAAATGGGCAGACCTGGTGAAATATTTCTCACGTAGGAGAAATGTGGAGGGGGTAAACCTGCAAAAGTAAAGTTGTATATGAGATTTTAATTTAAAAAATTAGAGGCACAAGATCTTGAAAACTAGTATTGGTCTTGTTATATATATATATATATATAAAGAGAGAGAGAGAGAGAGAGAGAGACTTTGTTGGTATCGGTTTGAATGCCTGATAAGGGCAGAAATAATATTATTAAAAGAAAACAACTCCCTCAACAAAATTTCAAAAAGAATGAAGGAGAAGGCTAACTACTAGACAAGAAAAATAAAGCAACCAAGTAGTCATTGAATGAAATTTTGAACTTCTAAACTTCAATGGAAAGGTAAATGTGGTAGCAAACCAAACAATTGTTTTGATAGACACTCTGGCATAGTGTTATCTTTGCACATAAATATAGCTCCTCCTAATTCATCCTTGTGCAAGCCCCTAAAAGATGATGAGCCACGCCGGTAAGGTGGATTACTGCTATCATTGTTGGCATTCCGAGTTTTCCTCCCTGCGCCCATTCTGAAATAATGGTAATTAAAAATAAGTGACCAACAGTTTTTAAGTGAATGTGATCAGTTCCCCATTCTTAGAGGAAAAAGGCAACCATGTATGTTGATAATATTTTAATCCTCACAATAAAGTTAAGAACCAATGCCTAGAATTGTTAAAATTATAGCAACAGCTATTTCAAGATGCATCATGCCATACAATTTGGTAAAGCAAGAATTATCAATCATAGGTTAGCATCTAAAATAATAAATTTTCCTTTACATTCTTCAAAAAAATTCTTAAAGGGAGTGCCATGCCATACGATGGCAAACCATAGGGTCCTTTCATATTGATTATTTTCTCTATTTCTCAAAGATAAGTAAAAAAAGTACAGATTCCCTATCTGTCTATGATTAAAATCAACAAGGGCTTTGAATGGTGAGTTGATGTATTGTAACCAATTGTCATGGAGATAAGCAAAAGTAAGGAAATAGGCTGAGTGTGAAACAAGAAATGTGAAGCAAGTCAGAAAATGCTGGCAATCCATCTCGCACAAAGATAAGGAGATAGCATTAATACCGCCAAAATAAAAACATATCAATAGAAACAGAGGTTGGCTCGACAGACAGTCTGATCCTAGGTAGGTTGAGCTTTTCTCCACAAGATAAGAGTGCTATGGTTATACCAACCCATGAACAGCTTAATTAACTCTGAATATGTTGAACTGATAAAAAATGAAAACTTTCATAATGAAACACGGGCTTACTAATAAGTTACTCCTAACTACATAGAACTTTTTTTTTTGCAGGAATCGTATAAATATAAAGCAATGGACACCTCATGATTTAAAGCTGATTTCAAGTAGCCCAAAGATAACAACAAGATTAATTTGTGAACTCCATAAAGTACACAAAAAGTACAACAACAACAACAAGCATTTATCCCACTAAGTGGAGTCGGCTACATAAATCTTTTTTCTTCATTATGTCATATTAAGAGTCAAATTCTAATTTAAATCTAATAAAAAAGGTCATTTCTAATGTTTAGGTCTACCTCTACTTTTTTTAACATAGACCTATTCTAAAACATCTACTCTCCAAACAGGGTCATCGAAAGGCCAACGTTTTATGTGGACAAACTATCTAAGGTGACTCTATCCAATTTTATCTTCCACTAGAGCTACTCCAACCTTCTCACGTATATACTTGTTTCGCATTTTATCTCTAAATGTAAAGCCACTCATCTACTTGAGCATCCACATCTCTGCAACACATAACTTATTTTTATGCTTCTCTTTTAATTGTCAATATTTTGCGACATAAAGCATTGCAGGTCTCACCACTATCTTATAAAACTTTACCCTTAAGTTTGAGGGGTACTTTTCTATCACAAAATAGGCCTAATGCAATCCTCCATTTCAACCATCCAATTTGAATTTTACTACTAATATCCCATCTATTTCACCATTGCTTTGAACAATAGACCCGAGATATCTAAAAGAATTACTCTTTTTAATGACCTCATCACCCAATATCACAATTCCACCACTATATCTATTACTACTAAAATTACACTCGATGTAATTGGTTTTAGATCTATTCAAATGAAAACCATTAGACTCTAAGGTTGACCTCCGTAATTAAAGTGTTTCATCAATTCTCTCATGTCTTATCAACAATATCCATTGCTTACTTAATGACTTTCACATCTTGACGCTCTCACAAATTCCACTTCATTGAGACAACACTTCAGCACTTGCCTTGGCAAGCAATCATGTTTTTCAAGCTCACACGAAGCACATTGAAATTAATTATCATTTCATTAGGGATCTCATTCGCTCCAATGAGATCACTATTTATCACATCGACTCTAAAGATCAACCGGCCAATCTCCTCAACAAACTGCTGTCTCCATCCAGATTCAACCTCCTCATGTCCAAATTAACACTCCAACAATTAGACCATTAATTTGCAGGACAATGATAACTTATAAAATGATATGTAAGCAACCTTTTCTGCCACTAACCCCATTCTCTCTGCTGCAGGGGCAGTCGCCTTTTACGGCATTTAATCCTCGCCATACATTGCTAAAAAAAACTCTCATCTCAACCCTTTAGATCTAACAGATTTATGTTCTCATTACAGATTTCTACGTTACTGTTATACATATATGCATACTCTACCTGTAATGCAGATTGATATGGAAATACAATGAACTATTGTTCCTACAGTTCTTACTATTTCTCTTGTTCCTGGTTCGTTTTCTGTATTCTAGTTCTGCATATCTTCTTCGACAGAAAGCAGGTTTCAGCATATCTTCAGAAGAGAGCAGTCAAATAAACAACAAATACCCACGAAGGCATAGCACTTTCAACAAAGAGGGGAAAAAATGGCACTTATGTAGTTAAACATGAAGTACAAGCCATCCACAACCCTAAAAACAACAATATCCCTCATTTCCCTCCAAAATGTAAAACCCATAAGCAATTCATAGTGTTGCAATCTCCTGAGAGATGTGCGCTACAGCACTCGTCTACAGTTGAAGAAAGCAATGGAGGAAATGTATGGTGCCAAGAACATACTAAGATACAGGAAATGTGGTTGAAGTTCCCTACAAATAGAAGTTTTTTACACTTCCGATTATCATCCCACCATACAGAACTGGAGGCAATGGTCAAAGCGAACTCCGGCGACTAAAGATCAACGGCGAGGCAAGGAACCTGGAGGCGGAGGACAATGAAGACAGTTTGCGAAGACGGGGTAGTGGAGGCCACGTGGTTTAAGTTGTTCTTTCAAATTCAGTAGATCCTTGATCTTTGTAACCATGCCCACTAAATGTCCGGGCATGGCCTACTTGATCATCTTGCTGCCAACCGCCGACCTTTCGTTAGGGTTAGTTTTCGCAAATGTTATGTTTGTTCAATGGGGTATTTAGTTGAGGCTCAAGTTCCACCTTTGATGGACTTATATGATAAGTTTATACATAAAAATTTATAAAATATTATAAGAAAAAAATAGAAATATATGATAAGTGTTACTTGTTGGAACATCCATTAACATCTTAGTTTTGCTTGAATATTCAGAACACATGATAGTCAGTGGATTATAATCAGGCGATGGGTGTCATGTTGAGTGACGTTAGTCGGGGAACCCGAGTCAAGTGACTCAGGTTGGAAGGTTGTGGTGGGCCGATGGTGATTGCAGGATTGTAGTTCGGAGACAAATGTTAACGAACTATAGTTGGGGCAATGTTGGTTGAAGAACAGTGATGCAACGATGGCAAACATGTGATTTTCTGACCATAGCGTTCAAGTAGTGACTTGATGGCGGTGACAAGTTGTGTTCTACTGGTGGTAGTTGCATGACGGCTTGATGGTAGTAGTTTGGCGATTATCTGATGATGGTGATCAAGTGATGATTTGATGGATGTGTTTAAGTGGTAGTTATAAGGAGGCGGTCGAGTAATGGTTTTATAGTGGCGGGAGGTTGTCTGATAACGTCAGGTGAGCAATGGTTTAACTGCAACGTTTAGGCGGCGGTCGGTCGACGATGGTAGGGTGGTTGTCCAACAATGATAGTTGGATGGTGGTCGGATGGTGTTGCTTCAAGATCCTTGGAGCTCTATGAAATCTTAAGCCAAAGTCCAAGCCCTCCTTTCATATACAGAGCAAGGGCTTATTTATAGATTTTTATTGTGACATATCCTTGTTCACACCCCGCTAACGATAGAAAATCACTCTACCTGGCGTTCTTAAGTGTTTAAGTATTCAAAGCCAAAGTTTTTGATATAAATTGTGTAGGAAGTTCCATAGACACAGAAAAAGTAATTATGAACTCCAAGCATCGTATATGCATTTTAAACTTTCATACATGCTAAACTGCACCATTGAATATTGATGACTTATATTCGCTGCTCTGCAGTGAAAGAGATTACACTGGTTGCAGAAGCTTTGCGGGATTCTTTGGCATAAGCATTTGGGTCATCCAAATACTGCAGTGTTGAAATCCCTATTATGCAAGCGTATGCTTATATTAAATGTCTTCCTCACAATTTATATTGTACTTCTTGTTCTCAATCTAAATGTCATTGTATTAGTTTTTCCCCTCTTAAACCATTACAACTAATACATTTTGATGTATGGGGACCAGTCCGGCTCAATCATTTAATGGATTTCATTATTATTTTTTGTTTGTGGATGATTTTACTTGTTATACAAGGGTATATTCAATGCTTGCAAAATCTAAAACATTCTTAAAATTCCAACAATTCAAACTTCTTGTTGATAAATAATTTTCTAACTCCATTATTACTCTAAGAACATATGGTGGAAAAGAATTTGTGAACAATGCCTTCAAACAATTTTTAATCAATCATGTCATAACTCATCAAATTTCTTGTCCTTATACACCTTAACATAATGAAATTGTTGAACACAAGCATTGCTACATCATTGAAACTAGCCTTGCTTTTAGATGAAAATCTCCCTTATTAGTATTGTGTATATGTTGTATTAGTAGCTACTTATCTTATAAACCGCATGCCAATGCCTATTTAACAAAATAGATTCCCTTATGAGTTGTTGACTGGAACAACTCCCAACTATCTGCATTTAATGGTTTTTGGATGTCGATGTTATCCTCTTCAACCGCCTCATTCAAAGAATAAACTCTCCTAAAGCTCTTCCAACAACTCTCTTGGGCTATCCAGAACCAACAAAAGGTTTTTATTATTTTGTTCCTACATTTGCTAAAGTTTATTCTCTTTCATGAACACATTCAACCATTTCAAAATTCAGCTTAGCAACATCCTCCTATCACATCTCCTCCACACATCCACCTCACCTCTCAATCTTGTTTCTACTTCTTATAAAAACGGGTCGAGTTCGAGTTGACCCATTTATGACCGAGTAAAGTCAGGTTTGACCCGAACTTGATCCATTTATCTGAATTGACACCTATACATATAATTCATATATATCAAATACTAATGTATCATATAAATCACACAATTCATAATGTGTGATTCATACATATCATATGTAAAAAAAAGCACTGTAAACATGAACAAATAGGTACCACTTATTTATGAACAAATTCAATATATTAAAATAATATTACATAAAAATAAAAATGTAATAATTTATTTTATATAATTAGAATAATTAATTATAATAAAATTTAAAAAAAATATTTGAAAAATATACAAAATAAAAAATTAATCAAGCTTCTTAATGAGCTTGTTCATTGTTGCATCATGAAACATTTGCGACAGTAGACAGATGGAGTATTTAATGTCCTAGTTTTGTATGAAGATTCAACACACATACATATAAGAGAGGGGTGCAATATTCATAAGAAACATCATAGTTTTACATGGAAACTCCTAAAAGGGGGAAAACAATAGGGTGTTTCCCAGTTAAAAAGAATATACTAGTATTTACAATTGATTAGGGGCGTCAAAACGGTTGATGGGTCGGGTTTGGGTCTAATCTGAATTGAACCGGGTCCAAACGGGTTGACCCTAACCTGACCTGTGAACCAGGATAGGAATGTGCAGGTTACTATTTGAGATTTCAACACCGAGGCACGTCAGTACATCACCATGAGCGGGATAGTAGATCACACATTCACGCTATAAGAGCCAGGAGAGGCCAACACGGGTTGTGACAGTATGACCTACAGGTGCGGGGTTGACCAGTCGTGCGAACGTGCGGGTCTGGGAAAGGCCGATTGAATGACCGTCTGGGTCTCGTGAGACATGACAACGATGTTTTGGGATGCGAAGAGAAGTTGTCATGCGAGCGCAGAAACAACAAGTCAAGGTCACGTGTAAGACATGACAGCCATGTTCTCGGGTTAACTTGAGTTGATTTTGAATTTTTGAGTCAACACAAACCCAACCAGTTTCATAAATGGGTTCAAATCTCGAACCCAAACCCATAATTTTTTAGGTTAGGTCATATCAGGTCAAATTTTAACACCCTTACGATTACTTACACGTGATGTCTTTCCTCGGGGGAATATGTTGGCTCTAGATAATACATATAAATCTTATAAAGCATAATGCATAATAGGAGTTAGAAAGAATCCTTTGATATGAGAGTTAATCTTAGTAGAGTGTTGGCTTGATCATTAGTCGATAAGACCGTAGTTGGGCAACGATGGTCAGAGGGACCATAGTAGGCGTGCGATAGAGGTCGGAGGGATAGTAATCGACCGGTGATGGAGGTCGAAGGGACCGTAGTCGGCGAGCAATGGTGGTCGGAGTGACCGTAGTCGGCGAGCAATAGTGGTCAGAGTGACCGTAGTCAGCAGTCAATATTGGTCTGAGGAACTGTAGTTGGAGGACAACCATTATCAGAGGGAACCTTAGTCGGTGGGCGTTGGAGGTCGAAGGGATCGTAGTCGGTTGTCAACGGAGGTCAGTGAGCAATGGTGGTCGGTGTAACCATAGTCGACGATCGATGGTGGTAGGAGGTTTGGCGGTGGCATGTTACTAAGCGGAGGTTGAATGATCGACGGTCGAGTGTCAGTCGAAGAACGGACGATTGTTCATAAACGGTTGGCAGCCGGGTTGTGGTTTGACAACCAGACAATGGTTCAATGATGGTCGAGCGAAAGTTTGGTGGAGATTGGTGGTTTATCAGTGGTTCCGTAGAGATCGGTAGTTGGGCAACGGCCCGATCATGATCGTTGGTCTATCAATGGTCAGTGGCTCGGTGGTGTTCAGACAGTTGCTGACGGAAGTTCGTCAGCGGTGGTGCTACCCGGTAGAACTCTATGATTATTGAAGTCTCAAAGCTCTATCCATTCTCTAGCCAAAGGTTTAAGTCCCCCAGCCCCTCTTCATGTGGGTAGTGAAGATCTATTTATAGATTTTTTGTAGTGACATGCTCTATAAATATGGAGATGATCCAGTGCAAAATCGGGAGTGGTCCAATGGACAACTCATATTGATTCCCTTGATCATGAGCATTCATTAAGCATTTAAGTGTTATTGATGTCAGAATTAGGCAAACTTTTGCACATTGGATTCGTCTCGTCGAGCTACTCGATTCATCTATAAGCATGTCATATTTTGATTTCATTTGACCATCCAATTAGTACTTTAAACCTTTTAATTGTGCTTCGGTCCCTTTATTTGGATCCAATCGGACTCGGATTGAACCATTTGGTGCCGTTGATTTCATCTCATTGAGATGCTCAATTTGACTATAAGTTTACCAGAATTGGAGTTCAGATGATCCCACATTTAATTTTGAAAGTTTTCAACTTGAATATGTCTTGAGATTCGTGCTCGATTAAGACGATTTTTTTAGGACGTATCATTCACGAGTTTTAATTGATATTGTTCATGATCATAAAAGAGCCGAACGAAAAGCTGTTCACGTTTGTTTATTTAACAGTTGAATATTTTAAAAATTGTTCAAGCTTGTTTGATTACTTAAACAAATGATCATTAACGAGACAAAAGCGAGCCGAAACACAAGCAACTTGTTGAACACCAGTTCATTAATTTGCAGCCCAACTTGCACCTTACCCATGGATAGACAGCATTCTGCAAGTATTTTTTCATTTTCTATTTACTTTTAAAGCTACTACTGTGCCACGTCAACCACTTGTCCAATTGGTCGATAATTGATCTTATCGACCACATCGTCGGCTCATTTCTCTTCTCAAATTCGGCCTCCAGCTTCAAGAGACGCGCGTGCCTCTCGACCACCCACTCTCTTCATATCTCTCCACGTCAGCTGTTAGAGGTAGATGTACAGCAAGAACTACTTACTACACTAACAAGTCCTTAGGCATGACGCGGCGAACGGTCCATTCAGAAGAAATTGATAGTTAAGTATAAATAATTGTAGGCATCCATAATACAATGCTAAGCACTTATGTAGTCAATGATATACGATTATGAATTTTATATAGAATTGTCTATCCCTATCTTTATGATTATTGCTGCATATGATAATTTTTATTTTTAGGATATATTTGAGGCGGCAAAAAGCTGTTTTAGATGTTATTATATAAATTTTATGAGATTAATTTTTTTTAAATGTTGTTAGAAACTTTTCAAATAAAAAAATGTGAATAATATTTTTTTCTTCCACTTTTAATTTGCAATATTTTTTTTTTTATAATTTTATCATTCAGATAGCGAATATAATTATATTTGACCACATCTATTCTTTCACTTCTTAAATTTTTTTGGAAATAATTTTTATGACAACCTATAAAAATATGATATATGTAAAAAAAATCATAATAATTTTTAAATATATATATTTTGAAATATTTAAATTAATTAAAATAAAATTATACACATTACATTTAAATGACTCAAGTTTATAATTTTTTAATTAATATCGATAAAAATAAGCTGCATTAAATATTTTTTTCAAAGTCAATTATTCACCAAATAATTTAAACGCCAATTCCATTAGCTCTTGCTAGAGGCTTTCTTGTGCTAAGCTATTACCACGACCACATTATGACAACGCGTCGTAGGAAGCGTGACAAAAAATCGGCTCCTTAGGCCGCATACTTCCCTATCCGCTTCGCCTTGGGCTGGGCGATTTTTTACCATAATTGCCGGTGGCAGATGATCTCCCCCGGTCAAAGCCTCGGCGATTTTAGACAGCTGAGCCGCCTAGGCACTACGAGCCGGCGTCATTCGCAGACGGAAAATCGTCTCCCTTTGTGCCAATTCTCCCCGGCTATCCGCTGTTCCAGGATTAACTCCGCCATCCTCCAACGCGATGACACTGGAGATGTCGACGCCTCACCGGAACTTTGCCAGAGAATCGGCGGACGGCGGCGCGAGTTCGTTCTTGTGCCTTTCTTGGTTACTGCATCGGGACTGCTCAGCTCCCTCGCCACTGCGAAGGCTGCTGAGCAGGCTCCAGATAACCCCGCCAGTGTCGGTGTGGTAGTTGAAGAGAAGATGGACAAGGAAAAAGAAAAGGATAAGAAGGATGAAGGAGATGGTTCGGCTATGTCTAGAGTTTATGACGCGACGGTGATTGGGGAGCCGCAGGCGGTGGGAAAGGACAGGAAGAAGGTTTGGGAGAAGCTTTTGGCCGCTCGGGTTGTGTATCTTGGTGAGGCAGAGCAGGTTCCAGACCGTGATGATAGGATTTTGGAGCTGGAGATCGTAAGGAATCTCTTTAGCCGGTGCACGGAGCAGCAAAGGTCTCTGTCCTTGGCCATTGAAGCTTTCCCTTGCGATCTACAAGAACAGCTGAATCAGTTCATGGAAGGGAGGTTGGTTTGTTTATAAATTGTTTCTTTTCTGATATTTTATTGCAATAAAATTAACTTTTGGAGAAAATTGGTTCAGGAAGAACCATGCGGCCGATTTGGCTGGGGCTTAAATTAAGTTAATCCAAAACAACCTAAGTTTAGTTATGACCAGTTTAAGCCATTTGCTGTTGAAAAAAAGCTGTTGTAAACGTTGAAAAAATCATTTGCTTGCATAGTTTTTAAGCTAATTTCCTTGACTTATCATTGGGTTCTGATATTGCAAAAATATGAGTTAATATACTTTTAGGAGAACTAAATTATAATTATAAATATAATGATTATTAAATATTAATAAATTTAAACTTGTTTGATTTAAATTTACTTAATATGAAAAGACAAGCTTCATAGGCATTATTACGTTGAAAATATTGTGCTTGTATATAATTGAAATTTTAGTAATGATTAAATTTATTTTATTAAACTTTAAATTTACTTTAATTTAATTTTTTTAATTATAAAGAGCGATAACCACCAGGCATGTTTGAAATTGTTTGGTTTAAAATATGTCAAAATTAGTTGCTTGCTTGACCAAACAGCCCATTGGAGTTTCTTCTTTCTATAGAACATTCCCCTGTAATTCAAGTTTTTTTCTATGTTTCCTTTATGATTAGGATTCAACTTGGTTAAAATCTTTCTCAGTTAGCTAGTAAAGGTATAGTTATTCTTATTATGTGAACCAAGTATAGCAATGTTACCTGAAACTAATATTTCACTATAACATTGTTTACACAATTATCAATGAAAACCTAACAATAATCCAAATTTGCTTGATATAGAATGCTGTTTCTTTCATAATTCTCTTTCACTTTATTTGCCATTTCAGTTAAAACTTTGTGACATTTAAGCATTGTATCTTGATCCATGCCTCTTAAATGCCTGGTTGTGCATACAACCTGCAAACTACAATGGTCAATTGGTATAATATTATCTGAATGTGATTAGTTTCTAGTGGTTTGCATGAAGTGGATTGCTTGTTTCTTTATCCTCTTTGAACAACAAAGATATCAATTAGGTATAAAAAAATGAATATGCATATTTCATGTAAGCTTGAGTGCATACGTGTGTGCGTGTATACGTGCGTGCGTGTATAGAAATATTTGTGGGGAGACGTGGGGCTGTGAGTGTCATGAATTTGGGATAATATACCACTAATTTCTTTTATGTCATCTGCATTCCTTTGGCTAAAGTAGAAGTATATGATCCTTTTGTTTATTTTTTTGCTCATTTATAATAGGCATTCCTCAATTTGACTTTGAATTCATTAGGTTCCCCTTCATATCATCACATCTGCTCTAGTTGTCCATTCAAGTTTCTTATTTTCTCAAATTTATTTGCCCTACTCTGAGTTGTCATTTATTCATTTATTTTAATGTAATTTTCTCCTTTCTTTTTAGGATGAATTGCTTTAGGATCCTATTGTTTAACTACATTCATTCTTTAGTCATATCCTTTTTAAATAATACCTATTAGTCATTTTCAAGGGAGAAAACAACCTTTAGTCATATCATTTTTTTGTCCTTTTTTCCTTCATTCTAGTGTTTTTCTATCAGCATATAGTTATTGAGAAACCATATCTGGTTATTACCGGACATTGACTGATTTTCTTAGATCAATTTACTCTCTAATGTCATCAGGTAATTAAAAAATTATATATGATTATTTTCAGATATTCAATAATAACCATATGTAAGAAAGCAATAACTACATACATACCTTTTGGGAATAACTATATTCAGAGAGGGAGGTGGTGAGCCGATGGTGGGAATAGCTACGGGTACTCATGTGAAGTGAATAATAAAGATCTATTTGGTACTAATTTTTTTTTTACAACATTTAAAAAGAAGTAGTGGTCAAGGTCAACCATAGGACTTCCGGCTGGTTTTCCTTGTTTTTATTTGGCAATCAGATATTGAAAATTGTGATGAAGTTTTCTGCTATCATCATAATAAACTTTCTTTGGCTTCTTCGCATAGTTGAATATTGTTCATGGTTTTTTCTACAATTCAAGAAATGTTCTTCTTTTATTGATGAAGGAATTTCTATTGTATCATCAATGGATGGAATGGTATGCTTGTATATGATCTTTTGGTCTTTGAACCTCAAAGGGGAGAGGGGCATGGTTTTTATAATTTATTTTTATCCCACTACGTGTGGTCGGTGTCTTTTGTATGTTCTTTATAAAAAAATTATTTGTCATGGCAGAATTGATGGTGCAACCTTAAGGTCTTACACCTCCCACTGGCCACCTGAGCGCTGGCAGGAATATGAGCCTCTTTTAAATTATTGTCATGATAATGGAATCAAACTTGTTGCTTGTGGTACTCCACTTGAGGTAATTCATAAGCTTATTGTCATTCTTTACTAGCATATTAAGGAAACAAATTAGGTCACAACAGAAGCATCTTTGCAATTTTATATTAAATGTGAGTGGCTAGTTACTGTTGAGCATAACATTCTAGTACTTCGGACTCCAGAAAAGCTTGCATTGCATTTATTTATTTTTTTTATGAGCAATATAAGATTTCGTATTTATTAAACAATCTGAATTTTTTGGATGTTAAGTCAGATGGGAAAAATAAGGTCGCTTAATTAATCCATCCCTCCTGTTTTACATATTTCTCTTGTTTTCTATTTATTGTTTTAAGTAACACATTTTTCTTGTCATGTCCTTTTCTTTTCTTCAAAAAATTGGATGTCCCAATATCTTGATGTCAGGAGTTAGTTTTGTTTTGTAAGAAACAGGGAGGGAGGTAGCTTGGAATGAAGCATTGTAAAACTTTATTATCTTTGTTTTGAGAAGAAATAGCAAGTGAGGATGTTCCATTCGAGAAGAATCCCTCTTCTTCAATCTAGTTTCATGCCTTTTATCTTTTGTCATCGTTAAGTTGGTGTCAGAGCTCAGAGATCATTTTTGATAGCCAATGGAGGGGGAGATTGTCACTATCATGCGTACAAAGATCTCGCCATGAAGTCTCCTCAGCTGACTCTTTATAGCTATAAATTTAACTTACAAGGCTGAGAGTAGTTAGTCCTGGAATTCAAGTAGATATTTGTCTACTTGAAAAACACAAGTTGGAGCTTAGATGATAAGCTGCAGCTCCCTTCATGTCAATAATATCCAAATCAGAACTTCTTGACTCAAATAAAGTTGGTTGTGCACCTAATAACTACAGAAGTTTTAAAGGTTCCCTGAATCATCATAAGGATAATCATTGCACTTGATAAATGATTATTTGTTGTTATCATTGCAACCAAGCAATTGACAATTCTAATGAATACCTCAATGTAAAAGTTTACATTTAATTGGTGAAAAGGATGAAGACGGTGAACAATTAGGGTGTGTGTAAAATTTGTTAAAGAGGATGACATGGAACCTATCGCCTGTATTATTGAGCGGCTTTTGCTTGCTAAACAAGAAGACTTGACTCAATGATATCCGATTTTCTTTACTTTGTATAATGTGCTTTAAAATTTATGCGTTGTGATTGTTGATAGCAGGAGCTGCAAAAATCTAGTTTCAAATGCTTTGTTCCATGCGCTCAATCTATAGACTTTTGTTCATTCATGTGCCTACAAGATTGGGTGGATTTAAGAAGGTTATGAAACATGAGCAAAACAAGGTATATCGGACACTTTGCATTGAAGACCTCTATCAAGTTGAAATTTTGTGTGGTTTTGTCGATATGGACGTATGTCATGTTCTTCTTGACTGGCCTTGGCAATGTGAAGTAGATGCATTTCATAGAGCCAAGGAGAACAATTATTCTTTCCGATGGTAGGAAATTTTTTTATTAATGCCACTCAGTAAAAAAAAAAAGAATATTTCCAGGCCATGGCATTACTCATCATCCACGATACCGAGTTTTGTGCCAAATTAAAACAGAGCCACTTGGTATTATTCCTTGAAGGAAATTCATTTCACACGAATGCAGAGGCTCTTCCTAAATGGCTTAACTATGGAAATACTTCCCTCCATGCAACCAATAAACATACCTACCAAAATTACGCCTAACATCACATTGATTTAATTTCTAGTTCTAGTCAACTCAACCTACTTTATTATTGCATGAGTCCCAAAGAATGCTTGGCCTTGTGGAGCACTGTTGGCTTCTTGCTTTCTAGATAGTTGATTCAAATGAGCCTTAGCCTGTGTTGTGTCAATGCTTTGGGTTGCAAAAGACGGTCTTTGCACATATATGCGGAGAGCTGGGCTATTAATAAGATCACGGTTGTGTCAGTTTCCAATCTAGTGCTTAGACGATCTACTCTGTAAGTTGGAAAGTTCTAGCATTTTTTTCAAAGATTGGCTTGAAAGGTACTATCATGAAGTTTGTATGCAACTTGGGGCGAGTGGAAGATGACCTTCAAAATAAGAGGCGGTCTCTACAAATGGCGAGTGATGCCTTTCAGGCTTTATGGTGCCTTGAGCACCTTGATGTGCATAATATATGGAATGCTATAGTCATTTATGGGACAATTTGCTATTGTATACTTTAATGATATCCGAGGTCACAATAAACCTAAATAAGAACAATTTGATCACTTGATGCAAGTTCTAAAGAACAAGCTAGTGAGCAATATGAAAAAAAAAAGTTTCCTCACTTCCCAATTTCAGTTTTGCTAGGGGTGTAAGTGAGCTGAGTTGGGTTGCAAGCCGGCTCGTGCTCGACTCGTTAATGAGCTTGCGAGTCGAGCTTATCTAGTTACGAGTTCGAGCTCAAGTCTATACTCGAGCTCACATATTAAACAAGCCCGAGCTCGAGCTTAAGCCTAGTTTGGCTCGAAAGCTCGTTGAGTTGCTCGATTAAATTAAATGTATTAAATAATTAATTTAAATTAGTATTATATACTATATTTTAATAATTTTAAATTAATTATATATTAAAATTAAAAATTTTAAAATATTTATTTTTTAATTTAAAACTAAGAAATCGAGATCAACAATTGAGTCAAGCTCAAGCTTTTTAAATGAGCTCGAGCAATCAAGTCGAGCTTGAGCCTATGGATTTTTTAATGAACTCGAGCTTAGTAAACGAGCTTGAGTCGAGCTCGAGCTCAAGCTCAGTAACAATTAAAGAAGTTTAGCTCAATTAGGCAGATACTTGACCCCTAGGTTATGCCATAAGCAGTGGGGACATTCAAAATGAAGAAAATCGAGAATGACCAACTTTATCTAACATTCGTGAATTATGAACCTTCCACAACCTTGCAACTTTTTAAAGCCGATTTACACACAATTTTAATACTCTTGCTACGCCAATTACCAATTTTCTCAAGAAGAATAATTTAGTTGATTATGAGATCAACTTTAATGTCTTGTAGGAAAAGCTCAGTTCAACGCTTGTCTTAGCTCTCCTAAACTTTGAGCGTGTTTTTGAGGTTTAAGTTGACGCTTGTATGACTGGAATCAGTGTTGTACTTATCCATAAAAGAAGGCCTATCAAATATTTTTACAAGAAGCTTAATAATGTGAAACAAAAATGGACAACTTATGAACAATAATTGTATTGTATAGTAAGAGCTTTACAACATTGTGAGCATTAATTAAAAAGTAAAGAATTCATTTTGCATAGTGACCAACAAGCTCTTAAATACATAAACTCTCAAATAATAAAAAAAAAAAAGTCTTGTATGCATGCTTGTTGGATGCTTTTTGCAAAAATTGCATTCTATTTTAAGCATCAAATCGACCACTTGAATTGGGATGTTAATGCCTTGGGTTGCTGAGTTGTTCTTCTTGTTCCATACAAGTTTAGTTAGCAGGCTTTGCCATTCTTAAAACTTGTATGAAGATGATGTAGATTTTTGTGACATAGGAAAGTAGTGCCAAGAACATGATAACTTTAGTGACTTTAATATTCAAGAAAAGTTTGTATTCAAATAGGTGTTATTCTATGGAAAACCTCCTTGCTTGAATTCATTGTTTAGAATTTACACAGGTGGTATGGTTGTGCACTACGGTTGTGATAAAACTGTACTAGCTATTGAGGGTATATTCTATCGGCCTCGAATGGATTTATTATTCTGTGTAGAGTCCAGAGGGCGTTCAGACACCAATAAAAATGTGCAATGTCACCTAAAAAATGTACCGTTCTCGGCACCGAGCTCGATATCTGCGCTCGATACCGCTCGATACCGAGCGTGTAAGAACCGTCCGGTGTCCGCATAGAATAATAGCTCCCTCAAATGAGGAGAGACATCATTAAAATTTTGCAACATTGTAGAATATGTCAATCTATTAATGGGCAAACACAAAACATTGGTCTGTACACTCTTTTACCCATTTCAGATCACATTTGGGATGATATCAACATTGACTTCATGTTGGGCTTACCATTGACACAACAAAAGACTTAGCTTTTGTATCGTTGTTAAATTTTTAAAGATGGCCCACTTTGTTCATTGTTGAAGAACTATCAATGTCATTAATGATGCCAATCTCTTTTTTCATGAAATTCTTCAATTACACCCGATGCTCAAAACTATGAACTCTGATCGTGATGTTATGTTAGTCACTTTTGATGTGTGTTGTAGAGAAAATTTGACAACGCCTTAATATTTAGCAATGCTTATCAACCTTAAATTGATAGACAAACATAAGTTGTTAACCAAAGTCTGGGCTCTATAATCCGAAGCATAGCAAGTGATCGACCAAAATCTTATGCCAAGCTGTTGCCCAAGCTTAGTTCTCATTCAACAACATGGTTAACAGCCTCAAATGCTGATTACTATTCTCTGTTGTGTATACCAAGACATCGAATGTCATAGTTGACCTCACTGAGTTGTCAAATAGAAGCGCCCAACAAAGTGCAGAGGAGCTGGCAGAACAAATTAAGCAGTTTAACAAGCCATAAAAGAAAAATTGAATGACTCCAATGAAAGGTAGAAATCAGCAGCGCGGGCTCCGAAAATTCAGCCCCGGCCTCTGCCCGACTATTTGCTTTTTCTTTGGCGAGGGGGAGTTTTAACAGAATAAGTTCCGGGGTAAATTTTGGGAAGGTAGATGGGTTTGTAGATAAGACACTACCAAGAGATTTCGCCCTCATTTTGCGAGGACTTTATGATCTTAGTTCTGGTTTCCTATAGGCGCAAGCCCCTATAGTTAATTACCCCTCCCGATAATGAGTGAGAATTTTCGATTAAGGCTAGTCGTCATTCAGATATGTAGAGATACGTGTTATCTGACATATAGTAGCAGCATGGGTTTAAATTTGGGAATTTGAAAATTTGGGTTGTGATACTTGAGAAGCTTGATATTTAAAATTGAAAATTTTCACCATTTTGCACTTAAAGCGGATGGTGGGGGAATGGATGATGGACCTGATCAAGATC